TGCCGTGGTTCAACAAGTCCGTCCACCGCGAGGACGGCTTCGACGACTGGTACGTGTGGGCGCGCGGGGAGCGCAACGAGAGCGCGGAGCACGGCTACAACTACCCGTCCAACTGGGTGAGTCCCGCGCGCCGCACGGACCGTTCATACGTGCGTCACAGGAGTGTACACACGGAAGCTGTGAAGCCCTGCGAAAAGTCTTGAAGCGTCTCTGCAGCTTGACGAAATAAAACACTTTGTTTTGGGAAAATAAAATTCCATGGGTCAAAGTAGGGTACACGGTACACCCTTTGAGAAGCTTGGAGGCGGGGTCTCCTTAAGCCGTCCCTCAAATTACGCTACGCGCTCTGATAGAAATGAATAAAACTTACTGATAGGCGATTTTTATGGCTCCCCCTTCACACGCGTTGTCCCCGCCGTATTGTAATATCAAATTACTTTCAAAGACAAGTTTTCTCGCTTCGCTCGCCCGGATCCTAGACACGGCGAGGCTCAGGCCTTCGGCCCTTGCGTTCACTATAAACATCCTTGAGTCTATCCACCGCATAGTTATCAATTCACTTTTATAAGAAAGCTCTTTTCGAGAAAGCCTCCAGAATTCAAATTGCGCAGTTGCCGCCGGAGTGGCGCGAAGTGCCGGTTTAAATGAAGTTGTACCGTATACTAGATGCAACAAAGGTGCTTCAAAAATAATTAAAAATAAAAAATATGCCATCACGTAATGAAAACGCTCGGTGGTTAACAATAATTTCAAATATGAGAATTATTGCTATGTTGCCCGAACTCTTTAATTCTTCTTCAGACATTCTGATTATTAAAATGATTTGAAATTAATTAATCCTACATTTATACGCAACATATCCTTATAGATAAGTCTTCTGTAAGACGGCAATAAAACACGTGGAAATGAGAAACAATATTCGCCCTCATAACATAGGCATAATCAGGCATAATAACCAGATGACTGATCAAAGCCCAGAGAGTAACTTAACAGGAATTTGGTGGAGATCGGAGAATATATTTGTACATTCGACGACCGTTAAAATGTGAGAGGAATACGAGAGAAGAGGCGCTGCGCATGTACAGTTAAGCCATTTACACGTAATATTTCTGTTCAGAAAGCATCGATTACAATTCCTAGCCCAAAGCCAGCTAGGGATTGTAATCGCTTAACTCACAAACATAAATGTGTTGTGCATGCGTTAGTAATTTGTTTAATTTATTTTCTGGTGTGCTTTCGCACACGAAATGCACCCGACATGTTTTTAGCCGAGGATTCAAAAGCCTAGGAAGCCAGTTTTTGAGACGGCATTCAGTACAGCAGTGTCCCTCCTCCGCGACGTCACCAAGTGCAGATATTCCGCGCGTGAGTTGTTTCAAGTGTTGGGTGTAGCTGAAGTTGATGCTCTGCTTGCAGCTGAGCGCCTTCAACGGCCCTGGATGGGAGTGGAATGACGTGCGCCAAGAGTTCTACTTCCACTCCTTCACCAAGGAGCAGCCTGACCTCAACTACCGCTCGCAGGGCGTCATCAACGAGATGGACGTAAGTGCCCTCTCGTTTCTAATCCGTTATGAGAAGCAGACGTACAGAGAAAGTTCAGTAATGTTGCAAAAAATGCCATTCCGGCATTTTGTGGGAAATGCTTCTTTTGGGAATACCTGGTACCGAAAAAGAGGTTTGTTCAAGTCACCTATCTCCTTCATTTGTCCGTTTCTCTCTTCATCCGAATGTCCGTCAATCTGTCCCACACTGTCGGTCAGTCTGTCAGACTACGTATCTAACTGTTCGTCGATCTATTTGTGAACAACATTATGCACTAAACTGTACCTACAGAACTTCTCAAATCTAGTTTATTCCCCTATCGATCTGACTCTAGGCACTGTGGTATTGAAACAGATCGTTTTAATTTTGAGGATTGGGTGCATGAATTTCTTGGAAGTTTTCTCAGAAATGGCTCCAATTTTTTCTTTAATTTTTGCGGGGCATTTGGCTTTCTGCTACTTCAAAAATGAAAAGATTCCTTCGTGTTTGGAGGCATACAAATGTCCTATCCTTTGACAAGCCTTGTAACCAGTTTTTATAGGCTGGTGTAAACAATTTAGTCATTTTCATGTGTTTATAATAAAACACATAATACAAAAAACTACCACTTCGAAATATAAATGTGGAAGATCACTCACAGAGTATTTAATAAATAAAGTTCTAATAAATGTGGGTTTCGTGAACACGTATTTGCAGGAACTTCTGAAAATTTGTTCTTCACACATTTTTCGTCCAGTCCCCTTTTAGTACTAAATGAAATACCACTTTATATAGATTTTGGTCCCTGCCTGGTTCGGTACAGAATTTTTTCTAGAAATGTTTAGAGTCACGTTGAGTAATTATAACAAAAAGAAGTATGCGTACAAAAGGATTACAAAAATCATATATCAATTATATATTTTTTGAATATGTAATTTCCTTTATTTCAATCTCGATTTTTGCTCTTCTGCGGATTGCTGTGTAGTTTTAGGTAGTAGGAAACTGCCCTCAAGTATACTTCAGTTGTCCATTTTCTTTGTATTCTTAATAATGTCTTACTAAGTGTTGGAGACGTTCTTGATTCATTACATATATATTTTCAACACATGTTTTTATGTGTATACCCTAAATAAACCCATCACAATCTAACAATATGTATTTTAGACCACTTTTGCTAGCGTTGAAAATTTTCCGGACAAAACGTACTGTTGGGCGAAAATGCTACGGATATATTCCATTGGACATGTACTATAGCACAAAGCTGTGGAGAAACTCCACTAGACTTGAGTATGTTGCAAAAATAACTGTGGATGACTTTTTTAACCGGCGAAAATGTTTCGACAAACATTTTAAAGCATTCCTTCATCTTCTTTTCAATTAAATTAGAGGGCCAAAAACTGTAAAAACCTCAATTAATGCCCATGTTTTTTTATAAAGAATATTGTTTACAATATAAATATACAGAACAGAAAACTAATTATCGCGCTAAATGAAATAACTAAATATTATATTATACTATATTCGAGGAAATAAAGGTTGGAAGTTTATAATTTACAATATAATTATCATTTTATACAACCGTCACAAACCATATATGAAGTTTGTGACATATTGTACCCAACCAATTAATTATTTTACACGTTCTATTCTGCATCACTTCATTGGATCTGAAACATAATTGAGTGTTAACTCTTCATTTATTTAGAATTGTTATAGTCCCTATGATTTCGTATGTTTATAAATTTAATATATTAGTGTTATTGTTTACTTGTTATTATTGTTTATTTGTTACTAGTGGACCCGACAATGCTTCGATATTGCAATGTATGTATGTAATGACAATGCATGTAAGCTACTGGTCACATGATTGTTAATCACGCTGTGTCCTGAAAAATTTTTAATAGATAAAAGAATTTCGCGAGTATGTGTTAATCATATGTCCTGGTTTGGACATGCTGGTCAAGTTTTCCTATTGTTAAAACGTTCTCTCTCAAGTTTGGGCATGCATTCGCTATGACACTATCTTGAAGAAATTTGATTCACTTGTCCGAGATAACGTTTAAGTAATAATTCCGACCGATATTCCACAATCGCGGAGGCAAAATACGCAGCAAAGACGCGCTTAATATCTGAGGGTGTGGCGGGTTGCAACAAGCTTCTGTTCAGGGGAGTATGACTCAACATAAACGCATGAAATCATAATCAACGTGCGTCTATACCAACATACGTATGTACACTCCCATTGTAATGTGACTATATTCTTCGCGTAAGCGCAAAGAATAACATGATAAAGTTTTTTGTCAATCGGATGAACAGCACATAAAATATAAACAAATTAATATTAATTTTCATGTATTAGATTTCTGAATTACTTTTTATAAACGTAGCGTTAATGTTTCTTTGCGCTGGCCGCAGCGCGTCCTCAAGTTCTGGTTCGACCTGGGCGTGGACGGGTTCCGCGTGGACGCCGTGCCGCAGATGGCGGAGGACGCGTGCTTCCGCGACGAGGAGCCCGCGGGCAACGACCTGCCGCCCTACGACTACGAGTACCTCACCCACAAGTACACGCAGCACCAGCCCGAGACCTACGCCACCATCAAGCACTGGCGCGAGCTCACCGACCGCTACGACAACCCGCCCAGGTGAGCGTTGAATCGAATCGAATCGAATTGAATAGAATCGAATCGAATTAATGTCTTATTTTACGTGGCGAGACTCGGGCCATCCGGCTTACTCTTCTGTCTGATGTATACGTAAGCTTCCGCGACTCGAATCCATGAATTCTCGGTTATCCGGGAGACGCCGCGTCGTTGACTGGGGTGCCGACGCTGTCAGGCGAAACGTTGGCACTCCAGCCAACGACGCGGCGTCTCCCGGATACCCGAGAATTTACTCTTCTGTCTGACCTCGCGAATTTTGCTACGCTCCTTTCACCAACAAGCGGAGAAAGGAGGTATTTCTTGAGCGACGAAACAGGCGATTTGAATTTTGCTCAGAGGCGTCATTTAGGCTTGAGGACCTTTTACATGCAAGTAAATCTACTAACATGGGACAGCCGGCTTTACTTCCTCTCCGAATGAAGACGTACAAAGGATTTTTTCACCTTTAAAAGTCTACGGCGTCGATCGGGTTTGAATCCGCCAACTTGGGTATAACAGTCCAATACGCTAACCATCGCGCTCAACATTGCACCATCGCCCCTCTAAAGCAAGCGTTAGCAAGTGCACAAAGAATTGTTCCTTTTAATTTTAAATAAATGTGTCAATTTTAACTTCATTAATATACACTAATTTATCAAAGTACTCAAATATATTCAAATCAATTAAAAACAAATGCATTGAAATAACTACACTTTAACTTTGGCTCAGCTGTTCTACACCTTTGATGTGAAAGCACTTTTCCTAAAAATAATGTAGGGATCAATTAATACATTACTGTTACATCATGGCGTAAAATTTTAATACTTTCAATTAAAAACTGTATCAACAACACTATTTACGTTTACGGAAAGATGACAGTGTGCTTACCTCTCCTAGACATCAGTCGAATTAAAACAATGAACTAGTGATATAGAATGGCACAGACTTTTCCATTTCTTCTATTTCCTTTGGTCTCGATTACATATTCGCCCTTGCCTCATCTTGCCAGCTGCAATCGGCGGCGGTCCTAAGTACATATTTTGCAATTTTATTACGTTGTCGGTTTCCATATAGCATAACAGAAATATTACTTTCATATTAAAGAACAGTCAAGCCTCGTCTGAAATGGCAATTTTCTTTGTAAAATTTGGAGTAGTTTTTGATAAAATATCATTTAAATGCTAACAAAATTTCAACCTTCACAGAAAATCACGTTTTCGAAAAACATGTCATTTGAAGCACAAACTCACAAACAATAGTGTTTACGAGTTGCTGGAAATGTGCATATTAACGGCGTAAAATATAAGTCAAACAATTACTTTGCGTAATTTTTGAAAAAACGAAATTCTCTCAAATGACCATTATATTAAAGAATGGAATTATCACTACCCATTATAAATGTTTGAAGAAAAAATTTGGAGCAATTTGGGGAAATGACATTTGTTTTTTTCTACCAATGCGGCATTTTCAGCTAGTTTACTGGAGCATAGAAAACTTTTTTTTTGTTATTTAAGGTCGCATCAACTACTAGGTCATTAGCGACCACAATTGCTTGTAACGGTATGGTAACTGTGGGTTGACACGATAATGATAAGGGGTGAAAGGACGAAACAATACAACCATGCCCGAGGCGGGACTCTAACCCGCGATCCTCCGGTCCGAGTTCGCTACAGCACTACTGCCTTAGCGATATAGAAAACTGTTTCGTGAAACAATTTGAAGCACATGTATTCATTTATCTATACTGAACTAATACCAATGAGACTTGTGTGATAGCTACCTTAAAAGGACTGGAGAACTATGGGTTATGATTTATAGCCACAAACCTTTATATCTACAAAATTTCTGGACATATTTCGCTTAGCTTCTACATCACAGACTAAAGAGTGCATCAATGTCAATAGTTTAGCTTCGCGTCTCATTGGATAACGTCTGAGATGTACCAGTTAAAGCAGAGAAGCGAGTATTTAGAGGACATTTCCGTCAGTTGTCTAATTCGAAAAAATTCTGAGTTTTTCTCCGCTTTATAAACAACTTTGATATTAATTTTAATAGCGTGTAGACTTGAGTGGATTAAGTGTTCAAGAGACGAAATGTTTGGAAGAATTTCTGACGGATGTGGGTTAATACAAAAAAGTTATGAATACGACTGTTTAGTTGGAACAAACATGAATGCACCAGAATAGACCGCCTCGGTGCTAAAGCGCTCCTTCGGTCACTTTTGACCTACACTTTGCTTGGTCGGGTTATACAGTTTAAATACGTTTTCCGCTTACTAAACGTAACATTTGCTATCTTGACGTTTTAATCCAACACCCATTACTGCATTTAGTGAACATTTCTTTTCGGGTTTTGGCTGGAGCAGGATTTTTTTAAACATATTAATGTGAAGGAATATTTAATAGCAAATTTACACAATTAGGTAATTATAACTCTTCAAGTGATGGAAAGAGGTTAATTGTTTTCCAGATTTAGAAGACGTAAATTTTATTTCATTGAAGGGGGTGACAGGAACAATGTTATTCTTTAGGAAGTTAGTGTATTTTGGAATTCTTATCGGAGATTAGGAATAATATTTACCCATGGTCTGATAGATCCCAGATTATCTTATCCGAGATCTTTTAGTACAATATTTCAGTTTTACTTACAATAATTTTACAATGTTATTTCGCAATATTGAACAGTTCAAGCTGACCAAAATTACATATGCTCAAAATTAAATTTAAAAAATCACAACATTCGAAAGTTTCCAATTTTTTCATTTTGAAGCTTTCAAACAAACTTGGGCACCAGGTACATAAATATAAGTTTAGAGTAGTTCGATTTTTACGTTTCCTGTTACTTATTAGTTTCAAACGTAAAGAGTATAGTAAAATTCAATATTTTCAACAATGTTCAGTTTCTCGAAACGTTCGTATAAAAGTAACAATTAGTTTGGCATCTTGAAATCTCAACGAACTTTCATTCAATGTTTTAATATCTTTAATCTTCATTTCCTGATCACATTCCACAGCATGGTTCAAGCTCCTGCTGCGAACAGTTTCTGAAACAAAAATTGGAGGTCAATGATCTGCATTTTATAAGCGAGTGTCTTCAGTCGGAGCAAGACTGAACAAGTATAAAAGTTACGCATGTTTACAAGTCCCATACCTTTATATCTTCAGCCACTTCAGCACTATTTCACTACTCTTCTGGTGCGAAATGTCGCAACAACCATGACACCACCTCCATCCCACATATTCATGAAATGCTGCAGGTAACACATGGTAATTAGGATTAGCCTCCAACCATATTGCGCCGAGCACTCCAGCTTGTTTTTGGTCTGCTGTTGAGGCCTTTTAGGACCCCAACTTCTCCAACGCAGTTCAGGATGGTAGTATGTAGCAGGTTGTCCCTGGAGGCAGTCCCTGCGGTTCTGAAACATTTAATTACTCTAAGACATTTCGTATGTGATTCCGTTGCTTA